CTGAGCACACGACCAGAACCACCGGCTGGGTTTGAGGTGGCAGGCACGTGTCTCAGACCGTGTCTCTGCTGGGATGCTTCCTGGGAGCATTCCCAGGAACAGCAGGCCCTTCTGCACTGGCACAAGGAGGGAAAACCTCCTGAAAGGAGTAGCAGAGCCCCAGGGCTGGGACAGCCAGAGCTGCCCAGCACAGAGGCAGCGCTTCGGAAAAGACATTTCGCTGTAAAACGAACTAATGCACCTTATTTTGTATTTGGGATGAGACACAGGGAGCTGAGAGCCCCCTCCACTCACAGAACCACAGAATCATTTGGATTGGAAGAGACCTCCAAGATCATCAAGTCCAACATTTGACTGACCACCACCTTGCCAACCAGACAGAGCACCGAGTGCCATGTCCAGGTGTTCCCTCAACACCTCCAGGGACAGTGACCCACACTCGGGCACAAGGAAGGGGGGACCAGGACACGGAGGGTCCCAGCCTCCCCCAGAGCAGGCTGAGCACAACCATGGCCAGGAGGAAGAGGGAGCTGGGAGCCAAGGGCCCTGCCCTGCCCTCCAGCTCCTTGGCACAGAACCTGCCTGTCTGTGCTGCCCTTCTGCTGATTCACAGCCACAGTAATTGTGTGCAATTAGGCCTGACGGGCACACAGGTATCTGCTCCCACTGCTTCCCTTTCTCCTATCTTTAAGGGTTGCCAAAACCCTCTTAATCCAAGGGTGGTGGGATAATTAATGTTTCATGATAATTAATAATTAATGTTTGCCAAAGCTTCCTGTGATGCTGTCCTGCCTGTACTCACTTTGGTACCTGGGATCTGGGATGGAAGATGCCACAGGGAATAAGGCATCCCTCAGTTCCCAAGGAAAGGGGATTTTGGCTGGGGAAGAGCACAACCTGTCCAGCACCCCCAACACCTCTGGCAGCCCCGGGAGGGACCCCAGGGACCGGGTACCAAACCCCCCAGCACCTCTGGCTGCTCATCTCTGAGTGCAGTTCCAGGCGTGGGTTCTGTGGGAGGGAGAGCTGGTGCCACATCTGTCACATGCAGCCTCAGCTGCAATAAACAGTGAAGCTGCCTCTTCCCACAGGGACTTGCTAATATAGGAGGTTGCTCACTGCAGTGTAACCACCCAAGGGCTTTACACACAACTCTGACTAAACTCCCCATAAAATCAATCCAGCCTTTTCACCACTTTTGACAGGGTGTTCTAATATTAATCTACTCCCCTTGTCAGTCAGCTCTGCTAACAAAGGCTCTAATGATCTTTAACCAGGCACAAGGAATATTACACAGGTGGGTGGAGGATTCCTGCATCCCATCCTTTGCACTGGTGAAGGACTTGTATTGCTACCAAAAATAGTCATATTGTAATTACTATTGACAATGAAGCGATGAAGATGCAAAGCACAGCAGGGCAAGGCTGGGCCCTGGCAGTGAACACATTTCACCCCTCCCATGCCCCAGGAAGGGGTGAGCAAAGTGAAAACTGGCCTCGGGAGGATGCTGGAGGAAAAGGCACAGGGCCTGATGGTGCCAGTGCCAGCGTGGGGACCGACAGTGCCCGGGAGGCACAGCAGGCTGATGAGCACCCTGCTGCCATCCAGGCTCTGCACAGCCTCGGGCACCCGGGGGAAACTGAGTCCTCCTGGAGAAAACAAAGCACCTGATCAATCCACCCAGACTACTCCCTTCCTCCTGCACAGCTTCCATGTCTCTGACTCAGGGTGAACTCATCCTGCTGACAGCTAGACAGGCAGGCACCCACCTCGCCTGCCTCATACTGTAATTAGGCAGGTCCAGAGACACGTGGGGACAGCTGTGAGCTACTGGCAGGATGGAACCACTCTGCTACCAGAGGGGCTGAGCATGCTGTGTCCCCCTGCCCGAATCACCGCTGCCCTCAGCTGCCCCCAGCCTCACCCCCAGCCCAAACACACCTCTCCATCACCCCCACACACATTTGGGTACCACTGGCTTTCCGTCCCCAATCGATTCCTCCCAGCAAGGTGTGACCCCTGCAGGGCGGGGGCTGCCAGACCTCATTTGGAGGTGTCATACAGGCTTGGGTTGGCACTAGATGTGTCTTACACATTGTGGTTGGATTTTTCCAAGCAGAAATAGGTGTTTTCTCACGTGCTTGCCCTTCCCTCATGCAGTCGCAGCCTCACAGCCCCCACAGAGCATCCCTTGCCTTCAAAGCATCACAATGGACACGGGCCAAAGCTGGGCTGGTTTCAGCCCCGGCTCATGTTTATTTGTTGGCTTTGGAAGAAGCCACTCACCGCTGGGGGATGCATTTCTTATCAAGGAAGCCCCTGAGCACATCCAAGGAACGCAGCTCCTCAACACTTGCTCCCACCTGCGACACGGCTCCTGAGGCTGGAGCACATCACTCATCCTCTCCCACCCTGTCCGTGGTTTTGCTAATGTTTTGGTGACTGTGCTGCTGCAAGGGCTTGGCTGCTGGGTGCTGCTGGCTCTGCTGGCTCAGCCCCAGTGCCGGGGACACCAGAGGTGGCAGCTGCTTCCCTGTACGCTCTGCTGAGGGGGACACTCGGCTGCTGCCTGGGACAGGAGCAGGGAATGCTGCTTGCCATGCCAGGCAGGCAGCCCTTGGCCTCATGCCTCAAGCCCTCCCGCTCCCATTCCAACGCTGGTCAGGGTTAGGGCAGATTTTCTGGCAGCGTGAGCCAGCGGACGCTGCTGAGCCCCGGGGCTGAACACACACCCCTTGGCTCTGCTGCAGTCAGGCAGAGCAGATCTTTAAAGAGAGACACTGGAAATCAGAGAAGGAAAAGGGATCACGGCCTGAATTATCTAGGGGTTAACAAGCCCCCGAAAACCTGCAGGACCCTTCCCTGGACTTCTTTATACGGCAAAATACTCAGTCAAAATTAGCATCTCACAGGCATCATCAGGAAATCCCAGTGACAGCCCAAGGATCACCCTAATGCCACAAAAGTTGGTCCTGGGCAGGATTGCCCTCGCCAGGATGTTACAAACAGGTGCAATGCTCTGCTTTGCTTCCCCCCTCGACAGAACTTCTAATCATGTATCTTGTGAATGTGCTTGGAAAATGGATTATCTGCACCAGCTGCTCGCTGCCGTGGCAGAACCTTCTCCAGCGCCTTTGTAGCAGCTCCAAAGCATTATCTGCCTTTCCTGTTCTGGCAGTGCCAGTGTGCCATGGGGAAGGGGTCATTCCAGGGCAGTGAGGAGATGAGCTGGGCTTTGAGGCCAGCTGGGTGGTGTTCAGCCAGCACAGCCCCAGCCTGGGGGATCGGGTGGTTTGCACAAGGCTGGATGACTTTGTAGCTTGCCTTGTTCCACAGCAGGATGGCAGGAGCGAATTCAGAAGATTTGCAAACCCAAACAAACGGCACATTAAAGGGATTTATCTCGTCAGCCTGGCAGGACCAGAGTCTGTTCCCACAAAGCCCATGGGAGCAGAGCACATCCTTCTGCTCTGCACAGCCCTTCCGAGCCCTGGCCAGCAGCAGCCAGCCGAGATCACTCACCATCAGAGGAGTCACTTTTCTGTCCTCTGTTTTTTCAGTGCTTGGCATAACAGTGTCCTTGGACAACGTCATCACTGCTGGGACCCTGGGCAGGAGAAGTGCCGTGTGCCCAGGGCCATGCCCCCTCCCTGGGACACTGGACACACACCCACCAGCACCCCTCGCTGCCTTGTCCCCATCATCCCCGAGGCAGAGGAGGAGCCATCCCTTCAATGAGCTCCCGAGGACACCCATTAATGAAGCACCACTTATCTCTCCTCAGCGGCCTCGCAGGGTGGGCACTGCACCGTAATGGAAGTTTTAGCTCAAGCAGCAATGACTTTGACCGTGCAAAATTACACTCTATTCTGGCCAAATTAACTAGGTAATGCCTTGCATTAGTGTAAAATCCTCCATCAAACCATGAAGGCTGCCGTTAAAACCACTCAAGGCCAAAATGTGTGGTGGTGGGGGTAGAGGGCTGCTTGGTAAGAAGCCTGAGAGGTGGATTTTTCCACCACCTTGCACCTCGTGGGCAAAGCAGGAATGGATATTCAGCCATCCTTGCCCGGGGGTCACGGGCACTGCCTGGCCCTGCCAGACCTGGGGGGTCCCAGCTCCCTCCTCATGCTGTGCCCCCCACTCCCACTGACAACAAGGATTCATCAGACACACAAACAGCCTTCACAGGAGTGGACAGCAGGCCAGGCCCCTCTGTTACATCAGCTCAGCACCAGCTGACTGCTCAGGGTTCAGTGCTTTAGGCATTTTCAGTGGCTTCTGCCCACGTGGCACCACTGCAGCACTTCCCTTCCCGCTCCAGCATGGCATGACTCTTCTCATTCCCCCTTTCCCACTCCTAACTCGGCAGCTCAAGCTCCCCATAACCTTCAGCAGCTCAAGCAGGAGCAAGAAGCCAAATCTCCTCTGATGAGGGGTGTGCAGACACCAAATGCAGCTGAACCAGGAAAACCCAACTTTCCCATTAACACTCCCCATCCACGCGACACCGGCAAAGGGAAAGGGAAGAAACTGCCCAAGAGCCTATTTGTTTTGCAATTATGGCTGAAATCAAAAATTACTTGGTCTAATTAGACCTCTCTGAGTACAAGACCATGCAAAATAAACCCCGCTTCATTATTGATGCCAGCACGAGTCTCCCTTGCACTTTATATGTTTAAGTGAAAATGCAGGTCAATTTACTATGTAAATTTTCGCAAATTTGGCTAAGCTAAAATGATTACTCTAATGTGTATGCAAATTAGCTTAATTGATAATGACTTCTCTGGTAACTTTAAAGAGGGAGGGGGGGAATTATTCCAATTGTGACAATCCTCTAAAGCGTTTCTTCGCCCGAAAAAGAAATGATATCTTGACAAATTAAAGAGAATATAATGAAATCAGATTAATTAATGCTAAGACCAATTAGCAGACGCAAAGAGAGAGGGAGAGATTTACAGAAGCAAAATTCACTAGAGAAGACTACAAGAATTCATCACCTTTCAAGATGTTTATATTCCTTCCTTTTCTTTGGAGTAATGAGTTCTTTGCTGGTAGAAGTGCTTGGCTTTGCCAAGAAGGAGTTTGGCCAATCAGAGTGGAAAGAAACAAGCCTGGAGGTGATGGCATTGAGGGATGAGCCCCCCTGGCTCTCAAGTCACCGTGGCTGCACACAGGGGCTGGGGTGCAGGCAGGCAGAGAAGTGCAGGCAGGCAGAGAAGTGCAGGCAGCAGAATGGCAGCACCAGACCTCCAAGAGCCTCTTCCTGGCGCCAGCCCAGCCCTGACCACAACACCTGACCCCGGCAGGTCCCTGCTCGGCCGCCCCGGGGAACGTTAATTACAGCGGAACGGGAGGCGGCAGCTCGGAACGCGCCCAGCCACCACCATAAACCTCACACGGAGCCATAAAAATAATTACCAGCAACACCGTACGTAATATCCTTCTGTGTCATCTCTCTCCTGTTGGTAATAAAGCTCCCTAACACATTAACTGCGAGGGAGGGCCCGTTATTCACCCTGTAATTAGACCGTGCTGGAAACGCTCCGTATGGAGCGTGTGGTGCTGGGGGTACAGTGGGGAGTGCTGGTGTGTGGTGATGTGCCTGGGCAGGCACCAGCACAGCACCACAGACCTGCAGGGGTTGGGAAACGGCACCCGGGGAGTCCCAGGATCCCCCTCTGGGAAACCCCTGGAACCCTGCACTGGGACCCCCCAGGACCGTGCAGCAGGAGCCCCCTGGGATCCCCACACTGGGACCTCGCAGTGGGCTGCAAGCCCCAGCCCACCTCCATCCCCACTGCACCCCGGGCACACACAGAGCCTGCCTCACACCCCCTGACACAGCTCTGACAGACATTAGGCTGCAAGTAAATTAATTGTACTATTAAATTCATCTCACAGCCCTCATCTTGCGGCCCTGCTCGTGCCCTGCTATCCACAAACACACTGGTCCCATAAACATCCCATCTGTCTTTCCACCCTTTTTTTTGGCCACGCTCTTTTCTCCCTTTCCTTTTTCTGTCATATTGTCGCCTGCAAAGACAAGCAGCAAGAAGGAGGGAGAAGCTGTGCTGTGAGATCAGCCACAGCGATCTCTCCTCACTCCGCTTTCCTGGGCGATTTGTTAAACTGTAAAACATTAAAGGGAAGCTGGGGGGGGGGAACGTGTTTTTTTGGACTTTGTCTCTCATTTGTTAATTGTGCTCATCAGTGAAAATCATTCATGGCAGAGCAGGGGGAGCGAACAAACCCGAGGAAGGAGCTGATCATATGCAGGGGAAATAACTCAGATGTGAAAATACTTCAGCCGGGGAGATTGTGCTATTTATTCACACAAGTGTCCCGCTGTGCTTCAGAAACGCAGTGATTTAATGAGGTGCTCCAAAGGTGTTTGTTATTACAGAATCCCATCTCTGGTTACTCTCCCCACACAATGAGAACAGGCCCAGCAGAAGTTCTGACTCGATGCCTTATTGAGGATTGCAGAATCATTTAGGTTGGAAAAGAACTCCAGGATCATCAAGCCCGACCTGTGATTGATCGATTGCCACCTTGTCAACTAGACCAGTGCACTGAGTGCCATGTCCAGGCATTCCCTGAACACCTCCTGGGGTGGGGACTCCACCACCAGCTCCCTCAGTCACTCCTCATAGCACTTACTCTCGAGACCCTTCCCCAACTTCACTGCCCTTCTCTGGACACGCTACAGCACCTCAATATCTTTCTTGAAGTGAGAAAGTGAGATTTGGAGGCTCTTCTCTCCCACTCTCGGCTCCGAAGCGCCTCTTGAATCCACTCCAGAATCAAGCACTGAACAAGCCAAGCGAAGCTTGTTGAACGCAGATGCCGAGAGAGAGTCACGGAGAACTTCGGAAGGCATTTGTGGTAACAGATGTTCCTCCTCTCTGCCTTGGATGGAGGAGCCTGGCAAGGGGGGCAGAGGGGTGAGGGGCAGCTGGGAGGGCTGGTGGGCCCTGCCCAAACCCTGCACGGTGCCCATAGGGGGGTCTGGGGGCTGAGGAGCTCCTTGTGTTGCCCCAAATATAGCACGTGTGCCACAGAGCCTGGCACAGGGATGTGCATGCCCACCTGTGGCTCACCTGGAGGAGCATCCCTCCTCTCAAGCTGCTGGAGCACCACTATTACTCCAAGGCTAAGCAGCGCTCACTGAGAACGTCTTCCAAGTTTCATTTTCCTCTGTAATGGAAAATGCAAGAGCGAGATTTCAGCCTGTGAGCCCTTCTCTGAAAAAACAAATATCTTTCCCGGCGCTGGACAGCCTGCCAATCAGGCACAAAATTGCTGGCTTCTCTTTCTCCCCTGAAGGAATGCCTCTGCATACAAAGATACCAGGAAAACTTCAGGGCCGGAGGATAAAAGGCCCTTCTCTGCCTTTCAGAGGGTGATTTGCAATGCATTGCTTCAGCATAATTTCCCATCTCCAGCGCTCACAAAGGAAGTTCTGTTGCTATCTGAGAGTTTAATAATTTCTCTCCCCTACACCTTGCATTCAGAATGCAGCTTCCAACACCTTGGCTCCTGCTCTCCAGCTGGGCTGTGGCTCTGCCTGCGCTCTCCCTCTTAGGCAGAGCTAAAGTGATAATAAACCCAGAGCCTTAACATTCAAAGGACATCTTGAGCCCAGGGGCGGGTGGGATGCTCGGCTGGAGGAGGGAGGTGGCAGGTGGCAGGGACAGCCCTGAGACACCAGCTCCTGGCACTGCAACAAGTGCCCACCAGCTCCATCCTTTGGTCCCACTGTAGGTGCCTCTGCAGGAATATGGTCTGAACGAGCATCCCTCATCCCAGGGCATCAGTGGTCCCATCCCTGTGGCCTCTGCCACCTTCCACATCCTTGGTGCCCCACCCAGGGCCAAGCTGCTTGTACAGGTTTGTCCTCCCTGGGCTTTGGGCCACACCAAGCAGGTCTGCAGTGTCCTGAGAGGGAGCTGACAAACCCACTCATCACCACCTGTGTTCAGCCTGCAGGATTTGCATACGTTATTCCCCAAAGCCTGCAGTCCCCACAGGACATATTCTTTATCCATTTAGCCAGGAATGCAGCTATTAAGAGCCTGCAGACATACAGCATTTGCAAAATTAGTACAAGAGACTCCAAATAATCCATAAATCCATCTGTTACATGAGCTACATCTGATAATTTCTTCTCCCTCTGGCTTTCTAAGAGGAAACGCTACAATTCCTCTAGCAATGGCAGCAACCATTTTGTGTGTGTTCCAGGCATGAAGCCCCCATTCCCTGGGCTGGGAAAGGTGAATCAAGAGATGTCTGCTCCGAAACCCATGAGTGATTGCTGCTCCTCAGCCGTGCCCGCACAGGGACCTCTGCACTTCAGCATGAAATAAATGTTTCCTGGCTCTCACTCACCGGTGCCTGACCCTTTTATATCCACATGCATCCAAAGGCTCCTCCCGCACCAGGCAGGAGCATTTCCACAGCCCTGAGGAGAAGAAGCTGCTCCATTATTTATCAGCACAGTCCTTACAAAGTTTGGCCCAAGCCACAGTCCCCCAGTGCCAGGCACTGCAGCTCCCCTGCTGACACCCAGCTGTGCAGGGAACCCCCCAAAAAGCCACCTGACTCTGCAGTACCATCTTACCCAGTGAGGGCACAAAACCCCGTACAGGTACCAAGTTCTGCAAACCCAGTGAATTATTCACCTGCTGAGCCCTCACACCCTGTGCCTGTGACACGGATGGGTCGTTAGTTATCCCTGGCACAGGTGAAGGGATGGCCAAAAACAGGAGGAGGACCTGCCAGGGCCCCCACCTGGACCCCCCCCGCTGCAGGATGAGAGCCCCCACCCCCAGGAGCCCCCGTGCCCAGACCTCAGCGACCGTGGTTATTTATTTTTGGCACAGTTCGGCGGCAGCTCGACCCTAACACATAAATAATGCAGAACACTAACGGCTGCTGCGGCGGCCACTTTCCAGGGCATTTAATGTTCGTGTCCCTCCCACTCCTGCCACAGCAAAACAGAGAAATTACAACGCATCTGCAGGAGAAGGCTCCCCTCCCTGGCTCCTCAGCAGCTGCTTTGCTAGGCTGGGCTCACCCTGGGATCTGCGGGCAGGGGACGGGCAGCCACACAAGCCAGAGGCTGCTCCCTGCTCCTGCCCACTCCTGGGGCCTCTCCCGCAGTCCTTGACATTTCCCTTCTCGAGGGGCAAGTCCCTGGTGCATCCTCCCAGAGTAATTGGGAAATTATTATGGTTGGTGTTTTAATTTAAATTGGATGGAGAAATGTTGTACTGCGGCTGCCTCATTTGCTATGGATTTTCACTTAACCAAATTGATTAGTCAACCAACTAGACTTACCTTGGAAGTTGTAATCATTCATTATTAGATCTAATTTTCCTGTCGCTCCCAGACTACGCTGGGAAATGGAAGTGCAAGGATTTTAACGGAGCCAGGGTGGAGCTTGTGAACCCTTTGGGCTGTGGTGGCCAGTGCCACCCCACAGCTGCCTGGTCAGGGAATGATGCCAGTGGCATCACTGCATCCCATCCCCTTCCCAGGATGCTGGAGCAGCGTCCAGGCTGCTGGGGAATGACCATGAAATACAGCACCAAAGGCATCCCTCCTGTGGCTTATAGTGCAAATTAATCAGTGAAAGGAAGGAAACAGGTGAGAAATAATATCTTTCACTGAAGATGTGTTTCCTGACAGTAAAACTCTCCTGCTTGCACCAGGTCTCACTCATTGCACACGCTGGGTGTTTGAAGCACTGGAGTGGTGCAGAGAGGGGCCAGGAGGAGATGAGGGACAGCAGGGATGGATTCAGCCCCTCAGGCATTCCCTCAGGGTCCCTGCCTCCTCTCACAGCTCCCAGTGCCAGTGCTGTCCTCCGCAGGGATGGGGACAGAAGTCCCTCACGTGACCATGATGCCTTGTTCCGCACTGGTGCCCGGATCTGAGGATGGCTCTGTGCAGCTCTAATTGCTGCCAGGCACCACAGAGGCCACTGCCTCTTCAAATAAGCAGGCTGCATGCCAATTAATACCTTTAATTAACAGAGAGGACTTGCTGGAGGGACTAGGACTGGCTCTCCCAGATGGACTCTCTGCCTGTTGGTCTGGACGGCGCAGCTCTGCCAGGTCAGGCTGCCCGGGTGCCACCGCTGAGGCACTGCCCTTCCCTGCCAACCAAAATG